TTTTTTTCTCGAGCTCGATTCCTGGTTGTGGAGCAACAGAACTGACCATCATTCTGACGCTGGCCAAAAGTAAGTAGCCATGGAAACTTGGGCTTGTTTTGAGCGCTCTAGAACGTTCTAGAGCTCTTAATCATGTTATTTCGTAGCTTACGGCATGTATTGCCTCTTATCATTTGCACATTTGCTCTGTGGCTGCAGAAGCATGACAAAAGGCTCCGAGCTCAGCGACATCGAAAGAGGCAAGATTATTGGGCTCCGAGAGGCAGGCTGGTCGTTTGCAGCGATTGCTGAGCACATTCAACGCTCCAAGTCGGGTGTGAGCAAGTTCTGGAGGACGCGAGAGAGCTACGACAAGACCAAAAGACCGGGATGGCCGCGAAAAGTGTGCGAAAGGACTCGACGACGCATCGTTCTGGAGGCGAAGAAGGCTGGTGCGCCATCGTCTGCGGTGAAATCCGCCTTGGGGTTAAAGGTATCTACGCGTACGGTACGGCGAGTGCTTCAACGCACATCGTTCATGACCTACGTGAAGCGCAACCGGGCTCCAATGCTGAAGGCTCATCATAGGCTGGCACGGCGAAAGTGGGCAAGGAGCATGATCAAGAACCGGACCGGTTGGGATAAAGTTGTCTTCTCTGACGAGAAGAAATTTAACCTTGATGGTCCTGACGGTCTCCAGTATTACTGGTACGACCTTAGGAGCGAAAAGGTAACCTACTTTAGCAGGCAAAATGGAGGAGGGTCTGTCATGGTCTGGGGTGGGGTTTCCTGTCAAGGAAAAACTGACTTGGCGTTTTTGGACGGGCGCCAAAACTCGTTTGATTACCAAGAAACACTAACTAACTACTTGCTACCATTTGGAAAGGCATTTCACGGCGGTGACTACATTTTTCAGCACGACAACGCCAGCATACATGCATCCAAGAGCACCAAGGACTTCCTTTCGGGCAGCGACGTGAGCGTTTTGGACTGGCCAGCACTTTCTCCGGACTTGAATCCGATTGAGAATGTCTGGGGGATTCTTGCTCGGGCTGTTTATCACGGCGGGCAACAGTATTTGAACGTCAACGACCTCAAGGTAGCCATACTCGACGCATGGGAGAAGTTGGAGCTGTTTCGGGTTCAAAACTTAGTCGATTCAATGCCTGATCGCGTTGCAGACATAATGGAAGAGAAAGATAAGAAAACAAAGCATTAGGAGACAAAAATCATGGCCTAAAAAGCTCAAAACAAGCCCAAGTTTCCATGGCTACTTACTTTTGGCCAGCGTCAGAATGATGGTCAGTTCTGTTGCTCCACAACCAGGAATCGAGCTCGAGAGAAAAATGGTATCACTGGATTGCTTGTCGTCAAAATAGCCTAATTACATGTTTTTAGCTTAATTCGTGCATTTTTGATGCAATTAGTCGCGAAAAACCGATGGCTACATATTTATGGCCAGCACTGTAGCAGTAAACTAAACCTTTGATTTTGACCACATTTGACTGGGATTCTATTATCGCATTGTATCAAGTTTCAAGTTAGACAGTATTATCAAGTAACTTTACAAACGCAAGTCTACCGGTTCGGCGGAACCACATCCTGTCATGTATGGCAGAATATCACGACAATACTTATAAAATTATTAATACCATAATCAATGATAATCGTTCCTATATTTAACTCTATTGGCACGAGAAAAGCAGACCAGATCGTCGGGGGATTCCCAGACAAATGCTGCCACTATTGTTAAAGCTAATTAGACGCTTTGGCCTAGTGAAGCATTTATGATCATAAAACTGAATTGGTTCTGTCTTTTTGGCCTCACACTGCTTCTTTTGGTGCAGTCCCAAGAAAACTTTCCATACAGCGCAAGGCCATCCTAGCCAGTATGACCCCCCCCCCCCCCAACTGATCCTCAAACCAGCGAGAAATTTGAACCCGCTCAGAAGCTTTCGGCTCCAGAACCAGCGCTGAAAACGGATTATATTGTGAGTGTATACGGCTGTGAAGACGAAACAAGTGAAGCACTTGAGTTCATCATTTTTTTGTCTTGGTGCTCATATGGATCAGGATCGCTACCACTTTTTGCTAGCCGTACTCATCGATGCACTACCAGACGTGCTCGACCAATCCGTTTTATAAACTGGCAATGAAGTCGTCCTCAATAACCTTCATCGCACTTGCAATCATAGTGACCAGGCACTCTTCCGCCATTCTAACATCCTTAGGAGACAGTCTACGAGGAAACATTGGTGGCCCAGACAGCTAAACTGTAGCTCGTCCTCCCCTACCATGATGAGAAGAATTATGCACGTAAGCATGGCGCCACACTCCATAACTTGCAAGGTAGTTCGAGGAATCGAAAGCGCTGCTGCGACCACCCGAAAGCATGTTCTACGTCTTTGCAAACGGCTCCGTGTTGAATTGGGTAACGTTTGCGTCGCTTCGGTGGGGTGAGCTGATACTTGATTGAGAAATTGCTCTAGTCCGGTATATTCTATCCATCAGATAGTAGCCATGGTCGTACGTTGCACCTTTTACAGTGAAAGCTACCTTAGGTACAGCACAATAACCTAGTCATTCAGCAACGGTGATAGCTCGATCAAATCCGAATCTTTATTAGCTCCGGGTATGCCGTAAAAAGCACGCTAAATCTACAATGATCTAGAAGACATGACCTCTAATACCTCCGTCGAGCACTTCCCTTTGCACTGAAACACTCATTGCGATGCCGTTGGACAGTTCTTCCATTCCAATGCATACAATCAAGGCTTCCCATCATCCTCATCATCAGCAAGGATACTGGCGATTGAGACTATGGCGCATACGAAATCTTCTGCGGTAGCCACCTACAGTCAAAAGAAAGCATGCCATGGGCTCAGAGTCAATTTCATCGAATGTAAGTACACTCTTAACCCCTTCAAACCGGTAGCCGTATAAGCTGCGTTACGATGCGGGAAGCGTACCCAGGCTA